TTATAAATAGAACCCGTTGTTCAACATTCTGCGTCATTATTTTCTTCACAATCACTTCCATTATTTAGAATAACTTTTTCTTTATCGTCTGATGAACTATCGCTTTCCATACGTTCTTTTTCTAGCTGTTCTTTTTGAAATTGCTTTTTTGGTTTTGCACTATTGGACTGCGAATTTGTATGCGGTATAGAAAATTTGTGCTTCAATCATACAAAACAGGAGATAAATGAGAATGCGTTTCTTCTTTTAATAGTTCCAGAAAGTTACAAATTCTTCTTGCAACGTTCTTAAATTCTGATGGTTTGGTGTTTCGTTTACTCATTTTAGTCACAAATGCATAAAATGCAATTATGGCTAAGCATTACAATAATTATGGCCAAGCATTATTATATTATTTTCATCTAGGCATTATAATAGAAACTTGCGAAGGTTTCATATTTCATACTTATAAAAGTTTCATATCAAATATTAAGGAATATTGAGGATAACTTCATCGAACGCGCTATGCAACAGTATTTATAAAAATAATTACGCACTTACAATAATAATTACACAAACTGATCTGGACGCCACAAGTAGACGAAACAGCAAAAAATGCGAGAAGTAACACTTAACAAAGAAGCGTCGATGCGACACTCGGGACATCTATAACAGAAATAAGCTATTGTCTATTATTAGAAGAGATCCTCATATTAGACAACTTTATCCTTTAGCCGAGAGTTATCTGTGCATTTTGCGAAACATTGATTGCACTTCCGAGACGGCTGAAAGATTAAACTCGCAAGCTAAAGAGGAAGTGCGAAGCGTACTGTTCCCGGCACTTTAAATTCCGTGTCACATATTGCACGGGGGTTCTAGCAATTCGTCGCGCTAAATCATTTAGCCATCCACTGAAAGCGAAGGGAAACGAACGTTACGCCTGTCGCCCCGGCATTGTGTCCCCGCGTGACAGTAATTTCGCCGGCATAATACGCGCGTTAGCCCCAGTTACGCGTAACTGGACAGTCCGTTTCGATTATGAATAAAACATGCACTTATAAAATGCTGTTCTCGCGCGTTACGCTCGATATCACCGCGAGGATACAGCACGGCTACATTTAACTCTTTGCACTCCGCTGTCCCCTCTAGCGGGACATCGTAATTCTAGCATATCACTCGGATGTCCTCTCTCGCGGGACATTAAAGTTTATTAGTGATTACGGGGAATTCAGTTATTTCAGCGCAATTTTTTCAGACATGCATGTTTCCCTGAAGTTTTCTTTTGAAATGGCACAAGAAATCAAATCAAAATATAGTAAAATTACTAAGATATATACAAGAAATATCAGCGGGTTTTGACGAGAACGTGAGAGGCGTGCTCACGACGGTCCGAGCACTTCAAAGGCGCCATTTGAAAAGAGCGATAAGGCAAGTTTGTAGAAGAAAGATCGGTATGCGAACATAGCACGCACTGTATAGTGAGATTTATAATCATAAAATCTGGAGGAAAAGATTTTCAAAGCTGAACTC